TTTTTTTTCTTTTCTAGAATAAGTGATCCTACAAATCTCATTTGGAAGCCTTACATGGTATGCTTACAATAACAGGTCATATAAATATAACCTACCATATTTATATTTAGGGGGCAAATACATGTATATTTAAAATTGGATTTTTCTCCTAGCTGCTTTTCATTTACACTCATAATTATATAATTTATTTGAAAGAATATAAATCTATTTAATAATTAATTAAAAAATCCAATAGGTAATTGTTTATTACTATGTACCAAAATTATTTTGGTGCAGTTGACTTTCTACGCCTTTTTGCAACTTGCACAAATATTAAAACAACTAAGAGGAAAAGCAAAAGGAAATTTATTTTTTCCTCAAATGGTGAATTTCATTTAACTCCACTTGATAACCATCAGTTTAGTTTGAAGTTCAACTCAAGTTTAATTTGAACATATTTTTTTTTCTTTTCTGGCTCAACCATGATTTGATTCAATCTCGCAAACAATTTGATTCATATTGTTAGTTTGACTCAATTTAAAAATTATGATTATGTTACACATTTTTTATTTATTTCATAAAATAATTAAAATTTATTAGAAACTTAATCGCAAATAAATAATATATTTAATATTATTAAATTCATACAATTAAATTTTAAATTAATTTTAATTTTTTACATATATAAATTTAATTCATGAACTAAATGAATCAAATAATATGTAATTTAAGTTCATTTATTTAATGAGAATTTAGATTTAACTCATTTAGTTTATGAATCAAGTTCAATAAACTAATTACCAAATTGAATCTCAAACTAATGTCAAATTGGTTTGATTCAATGTCAATTCTATGCAAAAATGTAAGGAGAAAGTAATATATTTTAATCTTTTATAGAACATAATATTTAAAAATAATAATAATTAATGTAACCCCTCACGTTCTAAATGATTATTTTTACATTGTCATCTATACCAAACTTTTGTGTATTTTAAGTTGGTTGAATTTCATACTTAAGAACTTAATATATAAACTTGAATTTAATTTAATTTTCCCCATGTTTAATTATGAACCTAGAGATAAAAAAAAAATGTAAGCAATATAATTACACAGAAGATTACATTTCATTTTAGAGTTTATGCAGGTGGATAGGAAGTGAGAGATATAAGAGAGAGAGAATCACACATGTGAGTACGTCAATTTAATAACTCAATTTTTTTTTAAAAAAAAAAAAGTTGACTAATTTTAAATTTCTGTCTATTATTTTTACCATGCAAGGTATAGAAGTAAAGTATTCTTTAAAAAATTATTCATATGTAAAATGAATTTAAAAGATTAATTTTTATTTGGAATATGAAATAAAAGCCATACAAGGTATAGAAGTAAAGTACTCTTTAAAAAATCATTCATATGTAAAAGGAATTTAAAAGATTAATTTTTATTTGGGATATGAAATAGAAATCCTTATATATATATATATATATG